ACCAACCTAAACCCTAACAACACCGCTAGTAGGCTTGCTCACTGCCTGCCTTGCTTACTGCCTATCTTACTAGCTCCCTCACTGTCTTCCTCACTGTTAACCTCACTATCTACCTTACTACTTATCTTACTGCCTCCCTTACTGCCTCCCTCACTACCTCTCTTGCTCACTGCCTCACTCACTAACTACCTTACTGCCTATCTCGCTGCCTACTTCTCTCCTGAATGTGGTTAATATTATATGTATTCTCTGATGTCTCATTTATATATATATGCCTGCGTATAAACCATGGATTCAGCCAACATACTCTTCAAACTAACTGTATAATATATATCTCTGCGCATTATGGTATCCTAAAATATATATATTCATTCATATATTACTACTAATTAACCTTAATCTCCTAATATTACTGCCTCTCTTACTGCCTGCCTAACTATTAACCTTGCTATCTACCTTACTATCTACCTCACTACCTGTCTTACCACCTATCTTACTGCCTGTTTTACTATCTACCTTACTGTCTACCTTACTGCCTGACTCACTTACTATCTTGCTTACTGCCTATCTCGCTGCCTCCCTCACTCGCTCACTGCCTGCCTTACTTACTATCTCGCTCACTGTCTTGCTCACTGCCTCCCTCACTATCTCACTCACTGCCTCCCTCACTATCTCACTCACTGCCTCCCTCACTATCTCGCTCACTGCCCCCTCACTAACTTGCTCACTATCTCACTCACTATCTTGCTGACTGCCTTACTCACTGCCTTGCTCACTGCTTTGCTTGCTGCCTGCCTTACTGCCTATCTCACTGCCTCCCTCCTCAGTCCCTGTCTTGCTACCTCACTTACTCCCTATCTCACTGCCTCCCTTATTATCTTACTTACTCCCTGTCTTACTATCTCACTCACTGCCTTTCTCACTGCTGCACTCACTGTCTAGCTCACTGTCTAGCTTACTATCTTGCTCACTGCCTTACTGCCTTGCTCACTTCCAGTCTTGCTGCTGGTCTCACTAGCTACCTTGCTCACTGTCTATCTTACTGTCTACCTCACTGTCAACCTCACTATCTACCTCACTGCCTCACTGCCTGCCTCCCTTACTGCCTCTCTTACTTACTATCTACCTCACTGTCTAGCTCACTGTCTAGCTTACTGCCTTGCTTACTGCTTTGCTCACTGCCTCCTTTGCTGCCTGCCTTGCTGGCTACCTTACTATCTCTCTCACTGCCTGTCTCACTGCCTACCTCTCTCTTGAATGTGGCTAATATTATATATATATATGCCTGTGTATAAACCACGGATTCAGCTAATATACTCTATAATTAACTCTATAATATATATCTCTGAGCATTATGGTATCCCAAATTATATATATTCATTCACTAATATATTAATGCTGACTAACCTTAATCTCTTAATATTATTACCTCTCTTGCTGCCTGCCTTCCTATTAACCTTGCTATCTACCTTACTATTCACTTTACTATCTACTATACTATTAACCTTACTGTTGACCTCACTATCTACTATACTATTAATCTTATTATCTACCTTACTAACTATCTCTCTCCTAACTATGGTGATATCCCCCTGATACCTAATTATATATATATATATGGATGTATAAAACATGGATTTGGATATTAATATAAACTAAATATATAATATATATCTCTGCTGCTATTATGGTATCCTAAAATATATATATTTATTTACTTAATATATTAATCCTAATTAACCTTGATCTCCTAATATATATCTATTACTTGATATATGGATGCTAACTAATCTTAATCTACTAATATTACTACCTCTCTTACTGCTTACCTTACTATTAACCTTACTATCTACTATGCTATTTATAATTACTATCTACCTTATTACCTACCTTACTATTAACTACACTATCTATCTTACTGTCTACCTTACTATCTATCTTACTATCTACCTCACTGTCTGTCTTGCTGCCTCACTCACTGCCTGCCTTACTTAATGCCTCCCTCGCTGCCTGCCTCAATGCCTGACTTGCTCACTCTCTTGCTCACTGCCTGACTCACTCACTGCCTGCCTTGCTCACTGCATGCCTTGCTCACTGCATGCCTTGCTCACTGCCTACCTCACTAGCTGGCTCGCTCACTAACTCACTCGCTCCCTTGCTCACTGCCTACCTCGCTCACTGCCTACCTCGCTCACTGCCTACCTCGCTCACTGCCTCACTCACTCCCTCGCGTGCTGGCTACCTGCCTCACTCGCTTGCTGCCTCGCTCGCTGGCTACCTCACTATCTAACTTACTGTTTCGCTCGCTGGCTTGCTCCCTCGCTCACTGCCTGCCTTACTGCCTACCTCACTGCCTATCTCACTATCTACCTTACTGTCTACCTTGCTACCTACCTCTCTCCTAACTATGGTTAATATGATATATATTCCCTGATATATCACTTATATATATATCCCTGTGTATAAACCCCGGATTCGCCAACATACTCTATAAACTAAATGTATAATATATACCTCTGCGCATTATGGTATCCTGAAATATATATATTCATTCATTAATATATCAATGCTGATCAACCTCAATCTCCTGACATAACTGCTGTAACTAATAAAATAATATAAATAACTGGCTATGCCCCTCCTGGTTGGGTGCGCCTACTGCAAAACCTGGACTACCTGGGCCTTATCCTGCCTATCTTACTACCTGCCTTACTGTTCACTGCACTGCCTACCTTACTGCCTACCTCACTGCTGGTTTTGCTGCCTGCCTTACTGTTGACTATATTACCTACCTTACTATCTGCCTTATGGCCTGCCTCATTATCTACCTTACCATCTACCTCGCTGCCTACCTTACTACCTGCCTTACTGCCTATCTTCCTGTCTGCTTCACTGCTTACCTCACTGCCTGCCTTACTGCCTACCTACTGTCTACCTTGCTGTCTACCTCGCTGTCTACCTCGCTGTCTACCTCGCTGTCTACCTCACTGTCTACCTTTCTGTCTACCTCGCTGTCTACCTCGCTGTCTACCTCGCTGTCTACCTCGCTGTCTACCTTGCTGTCTACCTTGCTGTCTACCTTGCTGTCTACTATACTGCCTGTCTTGCTGCCTGCCTTACTATTAACCTCACTATCTACCTCACTACCTGTCTCACTTTCTGCCTGCTGTTCTGCCTGCCTCATGCATGACCTTCCTGGGGCCTTATGATCTACTATACTACCTTGCTTGCTATCCTGATCACTACCTCACTGCCTGCTGTTCTCCCTGCTATTTGACCTGCCCTTCTGCCTCCCATTCTGCCTCCTATTCTGTCTACCTCACTGCCTGTCTTGCTGCCTGCCTTATGCATGACCTTACTGTCTGCCTCCCTGTCTACCTTCCTGTCTACCTCACTGCCTACCTCACTATCTACCTACTGTCTCTCTTGCTCCCTCCCTACCTACTACCTATGTCTATTATAACTATGGTTGATATTATATATATACATATTTATAAACCACTGATTCGGCTAACATACTATATAAACCAACCGTATAATATATATCTCTGCGCATTATGGTATACTAAAATATATATTCATTCCCAAATATATCAATGCTGATCAACCTTGATCTCCTGACATAACCACCGTAACCAACAAAATGATGTAAATAACTGGCTGTGCCCCTCGTGGTTGGGGTGCGCCTGCCCTAAAAACTGGACCACCTGGGCCTCATCCTGCCCATCAACCCCCATTCCCTGCAACCAGCGCTGCCATATGGGCTTGATCTGGCCCTGCCATGGCCTGAATAACATCATGGCCACCATGGGGATCAAAAACCTGCGGTATTCACATGCATGGCCCGGCTCCCACCCACGGCATATGGATTGGGGCATGCCGCATGAAAAACACGCGCTATACGGGGCATATTGCACTTGCCGACGCACGCAGATCATCCATGCCCGTGCGGCCTGGCTGTGGGGCTGATGACATGCATATAACTCATGGCCACTATCACCCCCCTGCATGGCGCATATATAACATTGGTCCCGCCACTGCATGCATTCGGCCTGGGCCATCTCCTCATCCAAACCCTGCTGGGTCTGATGCTGCTGCTGCTGGATATCCATGGCAGCCTACTGCTGGGCCTGCGCCTGCTGGGCGTGCCATACCGCCATGGGAATGGATGGCTGGCTGCAAAATAACTCATTGGATGGGGTGGGACTGGCAGCCTCCCTGGGGACCTTGCACGGCAGCTGGCTGTGGCTGAGCTGGGGTGCCTCTCTCCCTGCCTCTCTCCCTGCCTGATGGCCTGCCTGGTATGGAACCTCTGGGGCTTGCTCACCTGGCATGGGGCTACTACCAACCCTGGCTGGATCCACCTCCTGCCCCTCCCAATCAGGATTACACCCGTCACATGCCTGCTCCCTGGCATCCGCATCCTAGTAATACTGCCGCTGATACCCGTCCACCACTCCGTCTAAATACTGATCTAACATAACCCGGCGGCATCTAATGCCTTCTACCATCCCCATATACTCAGCAACCCGCTCCTGGTCCTTGGGGGCGACGCCCTCCATCCATGGAGCTGGGGCATCCCACCTAGCTGGCTGGATAATGATTGCCTTACTGCGCTGTCCATCTCGCCCAGCCCGGCCACTCTCCTGCGCGTAATCCAGTAACGTCCGGGGGTCCTAATATGGATGATACTGCGGATATTGGGGATGTCCACCCCCATGCCTAACGCGCTGGTGGTGGCGATCACTGGGCTGGCCCCTATGAACCGCGCTAGCACCCCAGCCTTGTCCAACTGCTCACTGTAATACGCCTCACACCTAAGCACCCGCGCCATGGCCGTCACCTGCCTGATGATATTCACATATATGATCACCTTCCCCCCAGCGGCCCATCGGATGCGGTCCTGAATGAATGCCACCACCACCTCACTCTTAATCCACTGATACGGCCCCTGGCCCACCCCAGTCATGTCTGGCCGCCACACCTGGTATGCCACATTCGGCCGGCTGGTCCGGGCCCGGTATATGGTCATGGTGGCCTGGTCATGCTTCATCCGCCGGCATAATTCAGCCTCCATGCTCGGGGGCAACGTGGCGGTCAACCATACCATCTGGGTGCAGGCCTGGACCAACCGGCCCAGCTGAGCCATCTAGGGCCGGAAATCACGCTGGGAATTCAACACCACATGGCATTCATTGATCACGATCCGGTCCAACCGCCGGGTCCACCGCAGCCGGTTCAAAAACGTCTGGAAATCGGGGCTCACCGCGGACTCGGGCGTCACCAACACGATGGATGCGGCATCAGGGGCCGCCGGCTCTCCCATGGCACGCATGATATGCTGAGCTCCTGGCATCGCCGTGTCATATCGGCCCGTAATGCGACGAGCAGAACCACAACAACGGTGGTGCCCCCAGGGGCGGCGAACGCGGGCACCATGAACAGCATGCTCTTTCCCCCACCAGTGGGCATCACTGCGACCATGGGGCTCTCCCCCCGCTGGATGGCGCGCATGGCTGGGTCCTGGACGCCCCGGAACCACATGGTGGGCCGCCCCATCATGCGCTGCGCGGCGGCCTCCAGATCCATTATTGCCAACTGGTGCCGGCGTTCCATGCGGCTGACCTCGGCCTTATCCTCCCACGGGGCCCATTTGCGCTTGCCTAATATGGATGGGTGGCCCGGGGCGCTAAACCCTAAAAACTGATGCCAATCAGTGCTGGATAACTGGAACATCTCCCGCCGGTGGGCTGTGCTGCCGGCCTGTTCCTGCATGACACGGCCATATACCATGCCGGCAACATGTGATGAATGGGCGGCCTGTAAATCAGCAATATGGCCTATCCACTGCTTGATATCCATACCCTCCTCGGCATCAGCATCCATGGCAGCTAGGGCCGGCTCGGCCTCCTGGATATTATGGGGGAACGCGGTGGACGGCCGCAAAAATCGGCGGCTGATGCCAATGGTGATGTCCCGGTATGCGGCAATATGGATGGCGGTGCCTAGCCGGGTGCGGGTTTCCCGTTTCAACGCCTCCCGGAACCGCTCGGACGACCATTCGCGGCCAGTACCGGGGTCGGGGCCCCATAACCATGCCTGCGCGGCCTGGCTCCCCTGCGCGGGCTGGCTCCCCTGCGCCGCCTGCGCCGCCTGCCATACAGCCAACTGATTAATGAATGGCATCACCAGCCATATATACCATACTACTAACTCCCCGACCTCCTGCGGCACATATCAATGGATGATCTTGACATCATTGCTAGCATGGAATCCCTTATGATATGCCGTCACAAATGTCACCATGCCATCCTTGATATATATATTCCGCTGTTGACTATTTGCCGTGTTGCAATGCTGAATGCTTAATAACTCTGGGGCCCAGGCCGGCTGCCCTGCAGTAACATGCACGATAATTGCTAATTTCTCCTTGAACTGGGCCACGCGCTGCCAATACTGCTGGATGGCGGCGGGGTGGAATCGGCCGCCCCACAGAAAATGCCGCTGCATGACCGGCTCGGCCCGCAGCCGGTCGATCATCCAGTGGGTCCCATCCACCGGCCACTGGGTCCGTGCGTCGTGCAGAAAGTTCCACCCCGCCTGGGTCTGGCTGGGATCGTCATATAATGCCGTCCAGGGAATGGCGGGCATCTGCGCATGATCCTGCATGCACAAATGGCTGATAATCTCCCTCGCTGCAGTCACTAATCCATGGATGAATCCCCGAAAATCCCCCATCGTGAACGCCATCTGCTGGTATAATAACTGGTCCTCGCCCATCCACGTCACATGTCCGGGCGCGGTATGATTATAATGGACCTTTAATCCATACGTGCGCCAGTCTAGCAATGTTTCCATGGGGCTGTGTGTCCCACGGATCATAAACTGGTGCATCATCCATGTCACCTGCTCCTGGAACGGTCGGCGGCTCTGGCGAATGTTGACCGCGGGCAATGGATCATCGCTATGGATGGATGATGGTGGTGATGATGGTGGTGATGATTGGGGTCATCGCTGCCATATCCCTCATCAATCTCCCCAAGTTGATCATCTGCGCTAGCTAGCACCCATTCGGCGCTCTGGTCCTTTTGTATCCAGGTCTGAATGATCTGCCATGGATTGGGGTCCATCCATAATGCTTTCTGGACCACCATGAATCGGGCCACCTTGATCACGCGGGATAATATTGGGGGGTAGCTCTCAGGGTCCTGCCAGCTAGTTTCCCCCTGCCCCAATACTGCCATGGCACATACCAATGCGCTCTCATATTCATGGCTGTGATGGCGCTGGTTAAGCAGCTCAATGCAAAATTCTAAGCATGCTTTTTCAATAGCGGTCATGGCCCATGCCTTCTGCTGCGGGTCGTCAGTCACCAGATCCATGGGATCGGGGCTGCCTGGGGCCTGGCTAGCAAGCTGCCACAGCTGATGCCACTTCTTACGCTGCCGGGCAGTCATCCCATATTTCGGGCTGGTCCAGTCGTGCGGGGCCTGCGTGCGGGCAATGAATGCTAATATCTGCTGCCATGGACGGACATGCTTCTGGACCGCAGCCTCATCCATGTATGCCAGCAGCGGCTGGTATGGGGTCTGTCCCTTTTTGGACCGGACGGCTTCCACCCGGATGGCCTGGCCGCAGTGCTGGACTGTCTGCTGGCTCTTACGGGCGACCTGCTCCATTGTACGCCAGATCACCTGCACGCGCTGCTCAGTGGCATCCTGGGGATCTTCCTCTGGGGCCGCCACGCAGGCAAGCAGGTCATGCGCCTGGATACCCTGCAGATAGTCTGCCCACCGAGTCATCCGCAGCCAGGGATTCGCGTCAGTCAACTGGCTTGCCTGGATCACCTGATCGGCCTTAGCCTGGGCCTGGGCCTGCTCCCAGGCCTGCACTACCTCATCTACTGCTGTCTGGATGGCGTCAGTTGGCGGTGGTGGATGGTGGTCATTTAGCTGGTGAACGCATATATAATGGGACCCTTTTCGGGAAGGAAAAAACCGCTGGCAGGTCACCACCTGATATCCCTGCTGGATTGCAATCTGCGCTTGTTCCTGACCCTGCAAGCGTGGTCGACCTCGACCACATGGCACTATCCATCCATGATGTTCGCGCCAATGCCGCTTCAATGTATCGAGTGAACGGGTGATGAATTGGCAATTTGCTAGGTCTCACTGGCATAATAACCCATCAGGATATTCATCTAGGTGGGAAATTGACTGGGCGATCTGACTAGGCCATTGAATAGCTTGGGGGTCATGCTCCACGCCCTCCCAGCTCTGAATGGCCTGATGGATCTGCTTTGCAGTGGCCTGGGGTAACTGATGGGCTTTCCCCCGGAGATGGCTTTCTACCTCAGCAGGCCACACCCCATGGCGGCAGGTCCGGCAGATAATGATTGGTGGCTGGTTAAGCTGGATAAATAACCGCTGTTCCATTCTTAATAGATAGTTTGGATGAGTATAGTATGATTAAACTAAATATCCAAATGATGATAGGATTTCAGAGATGATGGGATTCAACCCCTGAATATTTTGTTTGTGCGCTTTGCTTTTTCTTAGTAGGAACTCAAACCACATCAAATCCTTAATCTAATATGTCCTCACCACGCCTGTAAGTCATTGATTTTAATGCTGAAATTTAATTATATTAATCAGAACTAGCATATGAGCAAGTTAGCTAAATTTAATCTGCCTCTGACCTCACCTAAAGCTATAGTGATGATTATGGGTAGTGCTTTTCAGATTCATGCTGCCCTGCGGGAACTCAAACCACATTAAATCCTTGATATTAAATTTATCCTCACCACCCCTGCAAATCATTGATTTTGATACTGAAACTTGGCTGCATTAATTAAAACTAGTATATCAGCGAGCTGGCTAAATTTAATCTGCCTCTGACCTAACCTGAAGCCATGGTGGTGATTATGGGTAGTGCTTTTCGGATCTACAATGCTCAGCGGGACTCAAACCACGCCCAAATCCTAGGATCAAATGGCCTCACTACGCCTGCAAATCATCAATTTTGATACTGAAATTTAGCTGCATTAATTGGAACTGACATATCAGTAAGTGAGCTAAATTTAAAATACCTGCGACCTCACCTGGAGCCATGGTGTTGATTAGAGGTAGTGCTTTTAAATTTATGCTGCTCAGCGGGGACTTGAACCACATCAAAATTCCACATATAAACCACACCCTCACTACATCTGCAGATCATTAAATTCCCCATTGAAATTTGGTTAAGTCATGCTACATTAGCCAACCAGTAAGCTACCTAAAATTGAAATGTGTACAACTCCATCTGGCGTCACAACCCTACCTCACATGGAAAAGTCGGTCCCTACCCTGTTACCACTGCCGCTAAACCGCTCTGGGCTACACCCTAAATCGGTGTCAAGTACAGTCGCCGCCCCCTTGTGGGATAGGAGCTAGGTAAAATTAACTATAGGGTACAATTGGCATTTGTGCCAGTGCGGCCGAAAATGGCTGTCGCCCCGTTGCGGTTTAGCGTCTGCGCTGTGTGTACGCCCATTGGTTGGACGTGTGCCTGATCTGGTTTAGTGCTTCGTACCTTCCCGGGACGGGTTCTGCCCGCCCATACCGCCCAGCACAGGCCTACGACATCTATATAAACAGACGGTGCGTCGCTCAACAGGCCGTCCTCTTCTTCGAATTTCTTTCGTTCCCACCCAGGAGGCACTCCATACAGAACCAATATATATCATCAGCGGCCGGAGTACGCCGTCCACCCGAAATGAAAAGGGGGGCTAAAAATTTTTCTTTCCTCGTCATCTGACCAATCTGTTGCCTTCACCACTCTTCGTATCTCCTAGCAAGAGGAAACCTGAAACCCAGCCAACAAATTTCCGGTCATTGTGGTACATTATCCTTCTATCCGACAGGCCATCCCTGCCTCTTCCGGAACTTTCAGTGACGTGGCCTACGTCTTGGTGGCCCCCAGCAGGCAACGGCTCTCCCTCTACTGCGAGAATGCTTTCTGTCTGCACCCCAAGAATTCCTGGTTGGTCAGATGAGCAAGTCTTCCCCGCTTCCTCCTGCGTGCGCTTGAGCATTCCATTCATCAGCCTCGTCGCTAACGTATCTCTAGCAACATTCGAACGAGGAGAGCAATGCTTTGATACAGTTAGGCTGCAGCTGATCATCCGGCATTGCCCGTCCTCGCGCACCAGTCACCAATGGAAGCTGGTCACTGCACCTTTGTTCCTCCACCAGCTGTTTCTATTTCTCTAACCCGGCCCTTTGCGATACCCAGCCAATGGCAAAATAGTGCATCTCCATTTCCCTGAGCGCGCCTTGCAGCTGCTATCACTGCTGGCCATCCACTCATGGAGCCGCAGTTGAGCCGAATCAGTGGTATCACATCTTTGTGAATTCACGGAACCTGGCCACTGCCAAGGCGCAACAGCAGGGAAAAGGGCTGATTGTAATCTCGAATGTCGCAATGACAGAATCCTGCAGCCAATCCGCAAAATTGCCGCACCTCACAGAGTCGTGCTCCATTGGATTCTCTTTGTTGGTTGTCTGGGTGGTTGGGTCTCCCCTGGTGCGCGGAGCCTAGTTATTTCGCCGCCATCTCGGAGTGACCGCAAGCCAATTTCCGCTTATGGTAGACTTCGGCTTGTCTGACAGAAGGATGGAGGGTGTTGCGCCGTATGATTGCGCAAATTTACAACTCTAATGTGTAAGAATACAACCCAGGCGCTCTCGATGGAGGCATGGCTGAAAGGTTTGGTTGACGGCTTGGGTTGTTGGCTTAGGAAGAAACGGTGAAGGGTATAAAATCACTCCTGGGGCTCGCTCTCATATCTCCTAGTCTTTAATTTCACTTTCCACAATTCTCCATTGTCCTTACTTCTCTTCAACAGACCTGGAGAAACTCTACCCTCACTACATCTTCCACCCCTATATCTTTCGCGCCATGGTTGTCATCAATCTTGACTATATCATCCCTTACCACCCTTCACTTGTTTATAAGCCCCTTCCAAGCCACTACAACCGCGCGCCTCAGGCTTTGAGGTCTTAAAGCCTTCAAACTTCCCCTTACCGCCACCTTCAAAGTCACATCCTTCTCCCACCTCGCCTCCCTACCACCTTCGCCGTTGTCTTTTTTCACAGTCTGCCTCTCCTCCCCACAAAGTCCTTCTTTATCTGCAATCTACCGCTCTTTCTGAATTATTGGAAGCCGCCAATGTCCCTGCACTTCCTGCGTCCAGTATTGACATACTACAAACAACTGAGAGAAACGAGTTTGACAAAGAGTTTGCCAAACTTGATGCAACGACCCCTGAAGGCCAGCCTGTCGCAACCCATCCATGGACAACGACAAATACCAGCAAGATGACGGTCGAGGTAAGGAAATCGCCCCACATGTCATTTCAGGCAAACTCGCTATGCCCTTTTTTTGTCTCTGGTCTAGCTTTGTCAATATGATCTTCCATCTAAGTTGGACTAACGTAGCTGCTACTCAGTTTCCTTAGAGAACATAACAAAAGGATGGATTGGAGACAGTCCGCAGACTGCTCCCGCGCTGGCCCATCTTACTTATAAAGAGGAGGCAACATCTCCACCGGAGCCGGTCAATTCTGAGGTCTCACCAACACATACAGCATTGGTGGATGCCCAGTCCAGAAATGGTGTACTTGACGGTGCGTCCTTCCTTCGAGCATTGCTTGCTTGCGCTCCAGTCT